GCAATTTTGTTCGGCCTCGGCCTCGGCCTACGCTTGAGGCCGAGATGATCATGCCTTAGCATTTCTTCTTTTATTTTTAGGAAGGCGAAATACCCTGGCGAAACGCTGCGTTTCAGCTTCTGCGAACAAGTGCCAGGGCCGAGAGAAAGGGCTCCTTCGGCCAGCTCATGGCCGTGATTTATCAGGCACAAACATCATTTGCTTGCCAATGTATTGTGATCCGTTGTTAGTGACCAGCAACTGTGGGCAGCCGAATCGACATATGATGTTTCTCCAGATGAATCGTTCCACATAGCAGATGATAGAGCTTCGACTTCAATCCATTTAGTAAAGTAGTCGGTGGCAACGATCATCATGTCCTTCTTGGCATGTGCCAGCAGTAGGGAGTCCATTAATTTGATGGTCCATTGCATGAATGGCAATGGACTATTCTGTGGATGATACACTTCGATTGGCAGACTTGAGACAAGCTTATAGTGTTGGCCTCGATCACATTTTTTGACATACTCTGTAGAGTCGTGGCGCATGGTAGGCCAAAAGTAGCCTATACTAAGAGCCTTCTAGGCGAGTGACCTATCCCCGTTGCGGTTTCCACATTCGCCGTTGTGGATTTTGCAAACCACTTTGAAAGTTTGCGAGTACTTGATGCAGATGAGATGAGGACCATAATATAATCTTCGAACAATCTTGTTGTCATTCATGTAATATCTTACAGCTTTTTGCTTGATTTCTCTAGCATCAGACTTCTCCCTTGGCAAATTTTCGTTCACTAAGTAGTCAATGATGGGGTTTTGCTCTGCTTCTTTGATGCTTGGCTAATCAAGGTGCTCAACCGGAATTGAACATCTGAACTGGGTATCCAACGTTGATCCCAAGCTTGCCAGCACATATGCACGTGTGTTCTCTGCCAAGGGAACTTGTTAGATGGTGAAGTTAGGGAATGCCTTCAAAAGCTCTTGGACTTTGCTATGTATTCCCCTGACGCTTGATTACTGATAAGTTAAGAATCTAAGTAGATGGCTAGCCTCTTGATTGATAGCGAGTTTGCCACGCGTAGTCCAGCGAGTAGCGCCTCGTACTTTGCTTTGTTGTTTGAGGCTAGAAAGCCCAGTGTGATGGCTTGCTCCAACAAGGTTCCGTCTTGGGTAATTTTAATGACGCCTACTCCATCTCCCTTGTAATTTGAAGCTCCGCCTATGCGTAAAACTTTGTATCTTTTTTGTTGTGGTAGGCGACTTCATGTTGAGAATGGCCTTGATTTGTATTGGAGCATGTCAAGATCAACGAAGGAGGTCTCGCATGTTCTCGAACTTTCCTTGAATATGTTAACCAGCTTCTCTTCTTTGGCTGATGGAATGAACTCCATAACGAAATCTGCTAAAGCTTGGGCTTTTATCGCAGTCTTCGGTCAGTAGAGGAGGTCATATTGACTTAATTCGATAACCTACTTCATGAGTCGCTGAGAAGCATCAAGACTATGAAGAATCGATCTCAAATGAAATTCTGTCATGACGATGATACGGTGAACTTGGTAGTAGTGTCTTAATTTTCTTGCAAATGCTACAAGGGACAAAATGAGCCTCTCCATTTTCGAATAGTGAGTCTTTGCATTAAGGAGGTCTTTTGACATGTAGAATATCGGATGTTGTGCCCTCAGCTCTTCGCGACTGAGATCTAAGCTAATTACTGAGTTGGACACTGCCAGGTAGATGAACAAATCTTTGCCTAGTACGAGTTTTGAGAGCAGGGGAGGTGAAGTAAGGTAGGTCTTTAAGTTTTCAAAATCTACCTCGCACTCTTCATACCACTTGTCTCTTTATCGGTGAATTTCGAAAGGAATCGATTTAGAGCTGTTGCTCTGCATGTCAAACTTTGTATCTTTTTTGTTGTGGCATCAAAAGCTCTTGGACTTTGCTATGTATTCCCCTGACGCTTGATTACTGATAAGTTAAGAATCTAAGTAGATGGCTAGCCTCTTGATTGATAGCGAGTTTGCCACGCGTAGTCCAGCGAGTAGCGCCTCGTACTTTGCTTTGTTGTTTGAGGCTAGAAAGCCCAGTGTGATGGCTTGCTCCAACAAGGTTCCGTCTTGGGTAATTTTAATGACGCCTACTCCATCTCCCTTGTAATTTGAAGCTCCGCCTATGCGTAAAACTTTGTATCTTTTTTGTTGTGGTAGGCGACTTCATGTTGAGAATGGCCTTGATTTGATTCATATGTGCATCGATGCCTCTTTAGGTGACTAAGTATCCCAAATATGGGCCAGATGAGATTCCAAATGTGCACTTGCTCAGGTTCAACTTTATGTGGTACTTTTGGAGCAGTCTCGGCATGATTCTTGATGTGATCTGCTTGTTGGGGAGCTTTGACTAGCATCTCATCTACGTAGATCTCCATAGTCGTGTTGATCCACTCTTTGAAAATCTTGTTCACGAGCCTCTAGTACGTTGCTCCGGTATTCTTCAACCTAAAGGACATGACTTTGTAGCAATATGTGCCTCTTTCAATTATGAAAGAAGTCTACGCTTTATCGTCCTCATGCATTATGATTTGATTGTAGCCAGAGTATGCGTTCATGAAGCTTAGCAGTTGGTTGTCGGAAGTCGAATCTACTAGCTGATCAATTCTTGGCAGTGGAAAGTTGTCCTTCGGGCATGCCTTGGTAAGGTCGGTGTAGTCCACACACACTCTCTACTTGCCTTGGTCTTTCTTTGCCCCTAGAACAACGTTGGCCAGCCACTTTAAGTAGGAGCCTTCTTTAATGAAGCTGATAGCTAGAAGCTTGTCAATCTCGGTTTCAATGATGGCAACTCATTTAGGAGCGAAGTTGCGTCTCTTCTGCGCTATTGATCTACTGGCTGGGTACATGAAGGCGATGGCAGATGATCTACGGATCAATGGTTGGCATGCCAAATGGTGACCACGCAAACACGTATCTGTTGTTCTGGAGGAAGGTGGTAAGCTCCATCTTCTCTTCTAGGCTTAGGCGCGAGTCGATCCGGGCTTTTCTTTATGGCTTATCAGAATTAAGGGATACTAGCTCGACATCCTCCTCGAGCTGCCATCCTTCTTCAGGAGAGACCTACGGACGAATTCACTCATCTTGGTCCTGATTCTTTAATTTCTTTTCAATGATGATTATTCTCTTTCCCTTCTAGTCCGCTCGACTGTCAAGAACAAATTGGGTCTGTCTTCTTTTCTTCAGTCCTTGAGTTGAGCATCTTCTCGCTACTGCTTGATCACTGTTAATCTGCCTGACACCTCCCCAAGGATTAGGTAGCAGATTTTCTGGTGCGTAGTGGAAGTGATGACGTTGATCTTGCCAATTCATGGCATGCCCATGATGCCATTACATGGGGAGACCTCATCGATGATTATGAACATCTATTCGCTGATCACTGGTGGAGAGCAAACACCGATCTCTACCGTTCCCACAGTGATCGAGGTTGGTCCATTGAAGACGATCAGCTACCTGGTTAATTTATTGCAAGGGATTCTCTATGGCTTGTCACCGTGAGTTGGCCCTTCTGGAGCAAGCAGGTGAGCATGTTTTTTCGCGTATTTCATGAGGATGATCGTGAGCCTAATCTCGTATGAATGCTTCTCTGAGGGCCCAAGCGAGCATGAAAATCGGATCGTAGGCCTAACCTCTCGTGCACATTGGTCTTTGGACTAATCTCGATCGGAGACTCAATCTACTTTGAGTAGGGCTAGCGGATGCATGTGACATCCCAACGTGCTGAGCAGGACGCTTTAATCTTTCTCCTTGCCTGCTTGCTCCTGCTCGACCTGTCTAGGACCTCTTAAACTGCTTGCCTGCGCGCTCTTCCATCCTTCTCTCTTCACCATGGGATCGAGGGCCAAGGTCTTTGATCAAATTGATATGCCTAAAGAGTTGTCCAACCAAGTTGTTTTGGTCGTATACTCTTTGACTGAGTTGGTCTACTCTAATGCTGAGGTCTGCTTGACTGCTTGGATTTGAAGGAGAGAATTGTGTGGAGCCCAATGACACGTGGGCTAAGGTTTCGTTAGAGGTGTAGGGAGCAATCGTTAAGCTCGGCGGCAAAGGAGGGAATTGATGGAGTTGTTCCAAGATGGTCGTGAGTGGTGGTTCCACCATGCACTGCGGCTTCGTCGTGGTGATGAACCTCGAATTCGGCCGTAAGGCCATGTGGCAGCAAGGATGCGGTGGCCACGGGGCCATGAGATGGAGCCATGGTCTTGGTCGAGGGATCGCAAGACGTATGGCTTTGGCTCGTTGCGAATTGCGTCATCGCGGCGGCCTCGCTTCGAGTGCACATGCTTCCAACCATGGTTGTTTGGAAGGCTTTAGTTGAGTGAAGAATAGGAGGAAACATATTCCTTTAATTTAATAGCATGCATTGAGTATAACTCTTGCTCTAAATGGAAGAACCAAATATGTTTGAGCAAAATTCCCCACGGGGAATATTTGCGGGTTGATTCTATGATCTTTGACCTTCTTTCTCTCTCTTCCTCGATCCCTGCAAAATAAATATGAGTAAATAGACCACACCCGAAGGGTTTTGACAAAAGGCCCTTCGATGCCGAAGTTAGTTCGATTGGATCTTGAAAAAGATACGACAATAGCTAAAGTGGATGAAGTTTTCTCTCACAAGAAGAACCGGGTTGCCGGAGCTGTGTGTGGTGGCACTTAGCCGTGTGGGAGAGAAAAGAGAGAGAGTTGCGGGAAGAGAGGATTTTAGGGTTAAAAAAGAGTTACCTTAAATGCCTTGTGTATCCATGTATTTATAGGCTCGTTGTGTGCTAGGGTTTTGGGAGAATAATCCTTATTTTGTTAGGATTATTTTTTACCCAAAAAGATGATAGGAATTACTCCAAGAGATTTAGTGAAAATTGGTTCCTTAATTTAGGGAGATATTCCTATCTTAAATTAAAGATAATTTCTCTAATTAAATAGGATTTAATTAGTGTTATTAGTTGACCTAAGGAATGTTCTTTTTCCACGTGTCGTCTCCTTATTGGCCGGCAAAATATGTGTTCCCACATAGTGCATCTCATGTGTGAAGTCAAAACAAAACTTATACTTCTGTTAATGGTACTCATTAACTTTAAGTTTCATTGTAGTTTTAAAATTACACATTTTGAAAGCTAAGTGTTGTCATTGAAGAAAATTTATGAAAATCAGGATTTTGTAATATGGGTTTCTTTTGTTCTATATCTGAGTTTGTCATGGGCAGCTGGGCTTGTGGGTTTTTCCTTTTTTCTTTTTTTGTTTTGTGTGTGTGTGTGTTTATACACTTGAACATGATGGGTAAAGAGAGAGATGGTACAAACATGTGGCAGATTAAGTATAAAATCAATCTTTCTCCTTCTCTATGTTTCTTTTTTTGGATAGGAAAAACAAAAATGTAAAAGAATTGTACCCCTTGGACTTTCTTATTAGAATAAATGAATTTGATATAGCTAAACTAAACAGAGCACTTGATATTTATTTATTTTTATTTAGTGAAAGACTAGCTTTGGTTAATTTCCGTAGTCACTGAATTGAGGTGTTGGGATGAGGCTGCGGAAGGAGGCGACGTGTAATTTGAACCAATGGGCTATGGACTTCGATTGCAATATGAAGAACATCAAGGAGTTGATAGCTAAGGCTAAGGAGGCTAGGTTGTGATTCAGCTTGGTCCTGAGCTTGAAATTACTGGTTATGGCTGCGAAGACCATTTCCTCGAGCTCGATACTGTTAATCATGCGTAAGTTCTTAGCATTTCAAACTAGTTTTTCAAAGTTTAGTTTTGAAAAAGAAAAAAATGGTATATAGAGTGTTAAAGCTTTTTGTTGACAATACATCATCTTTTGGTCTCATTTGTGGATTAATTATGTGTAAAAAAATTAACTTGCAAGGAAATTTATAAGTTATTGTTAATGGTAATCTTGCATGATGATTGAGAAGTGTGTTTGAACAAAAAGATTATCATGATATACTTAAAGTTGTGGCTTGAGATGTATTATTTTGAAAATTAGTGTGGATATGTTATGAACCCCATATTGCGCCAGTGTATTGTTTTTCAATTGTGTATTTATTGTACATATGTTGCCATCTTAGTGCTCTTGTATTGCTATCATATTGCTTGAGTATTGCCATAGCAGTGCCCCTGTATCGCCTTTTTTTCAAGTATGGAGTTTTTGTATTGCCACTCTATTGCCTTGGTATTACCACTATATTGCCATCATATCACTTTTTTTTTCTTTTCAAGTGTGTTCAAATGTAATTATAGTGGGAGTATGAAGTTTTTGCATTATCATCGTATTGCCTCCCTATTGCCCTAATATTCTCACTGCATTGCCATCGTATCACCTTTGTTTTGAAATTATAGTGGGATTAGGGACACATAACATGAACTCAAATATGTGGAATTATAATTTTAGACCTTAAATATCAAAGCCACTGTCGTAAGGAACACATAGCATTTTTCGGTGTATTTTTCTGATTTTTCATTAATTATTTACAAATTTTTTAAGATAGAAAAAAAAAAAAAGAGGGAAGAAAGCCAACATGTGGCGCTACCATATAAAGACACGCGTCATGAATACTTACTCCTCGCCAATAAGCAGTTGCCACATGTCAATCATTTGTGTAACATCCCATCGCGAAATTTAATTTAATTTTTAAAATTCTAAAGTGAAAAGATGACTTTAACCTTAGGTTCCTTGATGGTTTAGAGTTGACATTTTGCTCGGGGCTAGTTTTAGAAATTTTCTTGGTTCCATTGCATAGTGCTTGATCTCATGAGTTCGTAGACACGTTTTGGGCCTAAATTGGAGTTGAAACGGAGATGTTTTGGCTAACGGAAGTGTAGTGACATAACCATAAATATTTCAAAATTGAATTTTTAAAGTAGGACCTAAACTGGCCCAAGTGAGGGCACTTTCTCTCTCCTCTCTCTCCCGATCTCTCTTTGTCTCTCAGAAGACCGCACACAGCGCCTCTTCGACTTCCTAGCGGCACAATGCCAATGTCCAGCTACCTCCGCAGACGAGACTGGTAGTAAAATGATGAGCACTGACCGGCAACAACGTTTGGGCCAAGACCCCGCCACCCCAGACCGTCACGCCGTCGATGTGAGCTCGGAAAGGGCCGATAGTTTCCATGGTTTCCGTCTCCATTTCAAACAACTCCGATGGCCATTGACGTCGATCTTAGTATGGATTTCGATCCTCTCCTCGTGCTCTTGTTGATTGTGTAGGTGGTTAGGGTTGATTTTGTTGTTTGAGATATCGATTTTTAACCCCCAAATTGGCCAATGGTTTTGGCAGTGATTTACCCTGTTCCAGCTACTTTATAGGCGGGGTCCGATACCAAAACTTGTTCCCCTTGTTAGTCTAAACGTGTTGGTATAAGTATTGTAGGGAGTTTTGAGAATTTTCTGATGCCAGAATTTTCTTAAGACACCCACCGCTACTGGCGATGGGTGGCTGCGTGTGGGCCCACTGTGGCCACCCATTTTGTTCTGAAATATTCTCCATGTGGTCCTAAGCACAACGGTATGCTCGGATTTGAATTTGATTATCGTTGACTATCGAACGAATATTGCGCCTATTATGCGATATCCGAGTTCGATACGTTCAGACCGTTAGATTGGTTCAATTTTAAGTTACGTCGTTTCTCCTATCGTTAGGATCGTGCAAAATCTCGCGGATTGAGAATCAGACATTCAGATATTCCGAATCCTCAAATCTAAGATTTTAACCTTTGATTGCCGCCCGATCGTGCGGTCATTGACGATCTGACCGTTGGATTGTAACCAAACTTTTGGGACGTAATCGATGGACTATTGTGGACCTATAAGAACTTTTGGACTGGAGATTAGAGGCCCAACTTACCAAGATGGTGGGCCTAGCCGGCCCAATCGGGACCAATTGGTTAGGAGGTGTTTGGGATTTGGTTGTTTGTTTTAAAATGGTATTATGCTATGAGAGTCTTATTAAATATTTATGAATTATTATTCTATCGCTTTATAATATATTTATGTTTCATTATGCGGATTTGGGTTGAGTTGATTTTAAATGTTTAGTTATATGTTTATTCTTATACATGTGTTAAATAGTTTGAAATTGGATTATGTTGCCTTCGGAAATATGGTTGCCTTAGGAATATTAATGTTTTCGGACATCCTGGTTGCCTTCGAAAATATTATTGTCTTCGGACATCCCGGTTGCCTTCGGAAATATGGTTGCCTTTAGGAATATTGATGTCTTCAGACATCCTGGATGCCTTCAGAAATATTGATGTCTTTGGGCATCCCAATTGCCTTTGGGAAATAAAGGTGTCTTCTAAGAACTCAGTTGTCTTTGAAAAAGTCTACGCGCTTATGACATTGTCCCCGGAGTATCAGGAACGCCCGAATCGTGTGGTGCTAGGATTTGCGTTCTCAAGTTGAGTATATCTCCCTGAGTTCTGCTAGAATTGCATTCTCAGGTTGACCATTCGTCTTGAGTTCTGCTAAGATGTGCCACAAATGTGGAGTAGACCGTTCCACATGTGTAGTACTTGGAATTGACGAATTATCTATCGAATTGATGGATTATGTTTGGTGTACACCTATGTGGAGAATAATGCAATACTGATGTGTTTTATACAGTTAACAAGATATTCTTCGCCACCCTGCTCATATTATCTGCATTGGCCAGGATCCCTAGCCACCTACCTGACTTGTCTACACAGGTGGTTGGCTAGTTTCCCCCTTCCTCAGTTGCCTTTGGATTTAATGATATTTCTCATATACTTCTTGGTGGGTGATAGTAGGATATATGCGCTACGCAGATGGTTACAGGTATGGATTTCGGGTAAAAGGTTTGGTTACACATGTGTTTGGATGTACAATGATAAACTGATTGAACAGTTAGGTACATAAATTTAGGACATGACATTCAGTTTATAGCTTGTTGAAATTAAGTAAAGAATGATTCTAGAATTTTATTGTTAGTTTCACCTTGAACATTTCTGTATTATCTTAATTGTGATTTATGGTAGAAAGAACTACGTGTGGCTTGATCCCTCAGTAAGGGTACGTAGGCAACCTAAGTGCAGCCGCAAGTTTAGGATTTATTTGTTATGTTCAGTTATATCAAGAGGATTTTGCTCACGTATTTATGTTGGTAAAAAGAAGGGCTTGAAGCCCATCGAAACTTTTGTTATTTGGTGTGTGGTTTACACCTTGTGCATGCTGAATGCTTGGGAAGTAATTGTGTTTGCTTTGAGCCTGTTTCAAGTGAGGATCTATCGATTTTCCCATAGAAGTCAAACCCTAAAGTTGTTTCGGAATTAGGGCAAGAAGGGTATTTTAGTATTTTGGGATGACACATGCCTGGTGTCAGAAAGGGAGAGGGTTCGTCGCGGATTCCAAGCGGGAATTCGGGGCAAGTCCTTTCAATTGTATTTAATTTAAATGTTTTTATGATTTAATTTCTAAAATTCGTAATAAATACATTAAAATTTGAAAAAATACATCGAAAAAGCTTTTTGGTCAACCGAGTCAATAAGATCAAACCTTAGGGAAAACGGGACCACGGGGTTCACGACCGCCGATCTCAGATCCAAAAGTTCTAACATGATCCCAACGACATGTAGAACAACACTTCTCAAAACAGAACTGATTTCATGGTCCGATCACACCAAACCCAACAACACATACTAGGCAAAACTCCGTTCTCGCAAATCCAAACATACCGTTGTGCTCAAGACGAGATGGGGATCATTCTAGGTCCAAAGTAGGCAACCTAAGTGCAGCCGCAAGTTTAGGATTTATTTGTTATGTTCAGTTATGTCAAGAGGATTTTGCTCACGTATTTATGTTGGTAAAAAGAAGGGCTTGAAGCCCATCGAAACTTTTGTTATTTGGTGTGTGGTTTACACCTTGTGCATGCTGAATGCTTGGGAAGTAATTGTGTTTGCTTTGAGCCTGTTTCAAGTGAGGATCTATCGATTTTCCCATAGAAGTCAAACCCTAAAGTTGTTTCGGAATTAGGGCAAGAAGGGTATTTTAGTATTTTGGGATGACACATGCCTGGTGTCAGAAAGGGAGAGGGTTCGTCGCGGATTCCAAGCGGGAATTCGGGGCAAGTCCTTTCAATTGTATTTAATTTAAATGTTTTTATGATTTAATTTCTAAAATTCGTAATAAATACATTAAAATTTGAAAAAATACATCGAAAAAGCTTTTTGGTCAACCGAGTCAATAAGATCAAACCTTAGGGAAAACGGGACCACGGGGTTCACGACCGCCGATCTCAGATCCAAAAGTTCTAACATGATCCCAACGACATGTAGAACAACACTTCTCAAAACAGAACTGATTTCATGGTCCGATCACACCAAACCCAACAACACATACTAGGCAAAACTCCGTTCTCGCAAATCCAAACATACCGTTGTGCTCAAGACGAGATGGGGATCATTCTAGGTCCAAAACAAGTCTCCAACACCTGGCGCCGGCTATGGTGGGTGTCTTGAGTAGTTTTTTGATGATCGGAAAACTCCAAATTGTCGGCAATACCTATACCAAAAGAACTAGCACGATAAGTGGAGTATCTTTATATATACTTATAAAGCTCTTTCTATTGTCGATTGGAGCACTACGATGAAGGATCGAATCGGATCTTTGGAGGAAAAGATAGAGGAGAAGCTAGGGAACACTTTGGTACCAAGATCTCGGCCAGTGGTAGCCGAAAAACGTCAATCTTGACACTGGAAGTTCCCGCATCTACGAGGCTTTTCTAGCTGTGACTTCCTCTCCAAAATCGGGGTAATTCTTGAGTTAGTGGTGTCGAGTGATGGTTTGGCTAGGCAGAGGAGAGAGAGGGAGACGAAGCTAATGGGACCGGTGGCGCAGCTTGGGTGGTTGGACGACGACGAATTGCCAATTAGAAGTTGCGATGTGTAACAACCCGGTCCTAAATTAATAGTTAAATATTAAATTATTCAAGGAAAAGACACGATCGGAAAACTCCAAATTGTCGGCAATACCTATACCAAAAGAACTAGCACGATAAGTGGAGTATCTTTATATATACCTATAAAGCTCTTTCTATTGTCGATTGGAGCACTACGATGAAGGATCGAATCGGATCTTTGGAGGAAAAGATAGATGAGAAGCTAGTGAACACTTTGGTACCAAGATCTCGGCCAGTGGTAGCCGAAAAACGTCAATCTTGACACTGGAAGTTCCCGCATCTACGAGGCTTTTCTAGCTGTGACTTCCTCTCCAAAATCGGGGTAATTCTTGAGTTAGTGGTGTCGAGTGATGGTTTGGCTAGGCAGAGGAGAGAGAGGGAGACGAAGCTAATGGGACAGGTGGCGCAGCTTGGGTGGTTGGACAACGACGAATTGCCAATTAGAAGTTGCGATGTGTAACAACCCGGTCCCAAATTAATAGTTAAATATTGAATTATTCAGGAAAAAGACAATTTTACCCCTAGAATGATTAAAGAATTAAAATAAGGGGAAATAAGTTTAAATGAGAAAAAAATTGACTTAAATAATAAAATAAAATGATTTGAATTAATTAAGGTTTTTGAAAATTAAAATATTATTTAATATTAAAGGGACAAAAAGGTCATTTCAAGTTCATGAAGGAATTTGGAAATTTAGATTGGACCGTTGCGTAGAGCACGTCGAGACTAGTCAGTAGACACGTAGTGGGCTTGAATCGGAGTTGTAACGGAAGAGTTACGATCGAAAAACCCTCAGTGGCAAACTTGTAAATATTTTGAAATTGGATTTTAGAAAAACCCCGGAACTTTCTCTCTCCTGCACGCACAGACCTCTCTTTCTCCCCCCTCTCTCTCTCCACGACGCTGTCCCTCTCTCTCTCTATCTTCGATTCTCTCAGCTCCGGCCACAACAAGGGCCAGCACCGGTCCTAATCGATCTGGCTCGACGCCACAATCACAACCCGCCACTTTTCCCGGTTGAAGAGCTCGAGATTTGCCGGCAATTTCGACTAGTTCGAATCGGTCTTGCTGTCACGCTGCCACAGTCACTGCCCAATTCTGGTGGATCAGGTGAGGTTTCTTCCTCTTTTTCCATGTCCTAGCTGCCTGTTGTGTAGGATTTGAACGATTGTAGCGTTTTGGAATTCGATTTTGAATTTAGGTTTTGGCCGGATTTCAAAGTGAAATTCCGGCCAGTTGCCATCCAAATTAGACCTCCATGTAGCTAAATAAAATGCTCCACTCGTCGAATAGGACCTATAGCCGAGAGGGTGAGCCATGATTCTGAAATTTTCCGGCCATCGTTTTCGCTTTGAACACCCACACGATCGTTATCACTTTGAACCATAAATCCAAACTTTCGGGACATGTGTCCTAGGCATTTTGGAACCTTTAGGGACTCCCGAATTTGTGATAGGAGGTCGCGGGGCCCGGTTTACCAAGTTTAGGCGGTTTTGACCCCTCGGTTGACCGTGAGTATTCCGAGGCAGTTATATCCTTTGAGAAGGGTTATAAGGACCATGTGAACGAGTCCTGACCGGGAATGAGTTATCTGAATCAATTTATCAGAAAATTGATATAAAGGCCAGGAAATAGATTGTGAATTAAAAGGAAAGTATTGATATAAGTTTGGGATACGGTTTTCAAACCCATCACAAGGGTACCCCTAGTTGCTTGAAACAGTGTCATTTATAAATAATGCCCCACGTGTTTCGAGGACCCCTGAATCGTGTGGTGCGAGGATTGCGGCTCGGATAGAAGCGGCATCTCCGAGGCCTGCGAGGATTGCGGCTCGGATAGAAATGGTATCTCTGAGGCCTGCAAGGATTGCTGCTCGAGTGGACTTGATGTCTCCGAGGCCTGTGAGGATGGAATTGACGGAAACTAAAGAAATTGACATATCAGGAATGGGGGTATGCCTAGGTGGAGAGAGTTTCAGTTCTGAGATATTCTTAAACTAAAATAAGAGAGTTCAGTGTATGGCATATTTATATTCAGTATATGATTGATATGAATATTTGAAAGAACTACGTGTGGCTTGATCCCTTGTTAAGGGTACGTAGGCAGCCTAGAGTTAATAGGTGCAGCCGTGAGGTCAAGTAATAAAAAGGTAGTCCAGTTAAGTTATTATGAAATGTAACATTGTTCTGGGGATGTTCTAGAAATTGAATTGAATGTTGTTAGCAGAATGATTTATTCGATTTATTGAGGCCTGAGGCCAGAATGATATGATGCTTGATTTTTGGATATAATACGATACATGCTGGCAATTAGGTTATATATAAATATATATGCTTGTTTTACAGGTGGAAATTTTTTGGAAATGTTCAATTTACAGGGGAAACTCTATCGAATTTTCGGCAGAAGTCGCACTTGAATTTCATTGAATTTTGGTTAGAAGGGCAATTTGGTCAATTGTGCCCGACAACCGCCAGGTGTCGGACACGCACAGGGTTCGATTCGGATTCCAAAGTGGAATTTGGGTCGGGTCCTGTCATGTTGTCATGCCCCCAGAGAGGAGAGAGAAGCTCGCAAGGGAGGAGAGAGAAAAGAGAGAAAATCTGATTTCGCATGCTTGGGTTTTGGGGCTTTAACCCAACTTCCAAAATTACAATTTTACCCAAAACATTTTTAGACCATAACTTTGTCAAATTAACTCGGAATCGGGCCCACTACATGTCTATGAACTCATGAGAGCGAGCTCTATGCAATGGTGCAACCCAAATTCCCAAATTGACTTCCAAACCAAAAGTGACCAAAATTCTCTTAACTCCAAAGGTAAAATATAACTTTTCCAAAACAAAATAAATAATTAGGCCAGGGTGTTACACTATGAGTTTATCAAGAATCCCGATAATCACCTTCAAGTCATACCTTTTAATATAACCATATAGTGTTCCCAAAGACAAATGACTCGTCCACAAAATAATTGTGATGTCTCAGGTCTAAGGACTAACTTGTACTAATGCAACTCTAAATTCTTGTTTGACATTGTCTGTAAGACTTTCATACGAGAATTCATGGTCGATTGCGTTCAGTGAACTATATCTCTATTGAGCACCTACACACTCGTCTCAGTGTCTCTACACAAATGATTTGAGACTAATAATCATCCTCCCTATTGAGCATACATAATGTGTATTAGTCTTTGTGGATTACCATTGTCCAATTGATGATCTTATAACTAAGAACATTTAAGATAAGATATCATGTAATAAGGTTTAGGAGGAAGGAAGTTTGTTTTGACAATGCTTCTTTAGCAAGGTTTAATGGATGTTGATTTGGGTGTATAGACTAGAGATGGATTTTGATTATATGTTTTGAAAATTTAGGGTTTCTTTTTAGGTGTGGGATATCGTGAGGAATAGCCATTCTAGAACAATCATTTGGGTTGGTTCATTCTTTAACTAGTGTTGCTGCAAGTGCGATAGGTTGGCCATGCCTCTCTTCACTGTGAACTCTCCCTTCATGGAGGTTCGTGGTGACGGCTCACATGAGGGAGGGTGGTATCTCTTGTTTTAGAGCTAGGTTTTTTTTTTCTTTCCCTTTTCTAATATCATTTCTTTATGTTAGGCCTCGTAATCTGAAGCCTCTTTGTTTGTTTTTACTACTTGTATTTCAATGCTCCAAACCATCTCCTTCAAATATCATTTCACAAAAAAATCATTTGAATCTAAAATCATTTTACCATTCAATTAAATAGTTGTAGTATTTTCTTGAAACACCATGGTCATCTATTTTGTTAGTCATAACTAGATGCCTTAATGGTTTTCAATTTGTCTAATTTTTGCAAAAATAATTCATGAATAAAGGCTTGAAAAATAAACGGTTTGAATTATTGAAATAAAATTTGTAATAAACCCCAAAAGGTGTCCCTCAAATAATTTTTTTTGAGAGATCCTCAATTGAAAGGGATATAATATATATATATATATATATTAGCTCTATATTTAGTTATACGGATATTTTGATACTCATAAGCTTAACCCAAAAGAGAGAAGCACATATGAAGAGTAGTTGATCATGATGTTCCCAAATTGAAGACGAATTAAGCGAGAAACAACCCATATTGAAATCCCATTGGCTAGGTTTTACAAAAGCAAAGAAAGTTGAAAAGAACAAACAGACAAGACAGTCCAACAAGTCAAAGATGACGCTAAGATTTTGTTTTAGCTACTATAACCGAGAGATTTATATATATAAATCCTTTATGTGACACGTACTGTTGAAATCTGCTCTCTTTCTCTGTGATCATAGTTTGATCCTCTCAAATCAAATTTCCTCTCTCCCTTCTTTTTCTTTTATTTGACTACACAAACCCTACAAGAGTGGAGGGAACAAGACACAGAGGGATAGTTCGAGTAAATTAATAATGGGTAGTAAGTAATCAAGGATTTGGATTAACAGTGGGTTACGAGGATTTGGATCATCAAGAGGTGGCAATGCAATAAGGCTCCCAAAATAGAAGAGACCTTCTAGGCTCTTTGCAACCCTTTGAAAAAGGAGCCAAGTGATCCCCTTTGTTCCCTCTCAAAACGAGCAATTGTTGCTGATCATTTGCCACTTGATTCTTGGACATAAAGCCATTGCTCTTGAGGGATTGGGACGTTGCTTGTGGAAGAGGATTAAGAGCCGCTGTTGCTGTGGGCTTGGTGCGCCAATAGTACTCGTAAGCGTTGAAAGAGCCTGCTGCTGCCGCTGCTTTTGCTGCCGCCGGCGGCTTTGGTATCAACCGTGCCACGCGGCCGGGCCGGGGTGGGAGTGACTTTGCTAGTGGGGTTGGCTCCACTACTTCCACCTCCTCATCATCCCCTCCATACTTCACTACTTCATTGAACTTGTTAGCCCACCCATGAGTCTTATTAGCAAACCCAATGGGCTTATTCATCATTAGTGCTAGCCTATGAACATTTGTCACCCTACTTGTTAGCACTTTTGGTGCTTCCTCCATCACAATTTCTCTTTCTTTGATTCCATTTTCTTTTGTTGCTTTCTCCTCCTCCTCATCATCATCACCATCATTATCATCATCACTTTTTTCACTTTCTTTTTCTTCCCCTCCTTCCTGAAAGTTCACAAAATTCTCCTCAAAGTCTTCCTCTCTACTTTGCTCTTCTTTATCAACAACCTCTTCACTCTCAGTCTCCTCACAAGAGCTTGGAGTAGTAGCAAGAAAAGTGAGGACAAGGCGACCATCTTGGCGTTGGGCACGGAAGTTATTCGGTGAAGGCATGGACACAGCTTCGAGGACTACTCGTCCGTTGTTGCGATGAGTCCTCATGCGAACAGATGTCCCGTCACATCCTGACAAAGACGGAAGGGGCGGAGGGAATGATCGAGTTGGAGGCAACTTCTTACTGGCAGCAGAGTTGTACTTGACAACTCGAAATTCTTCCCCGTCAAATGCTTGTGCCACCCGTACTTTTTCTTTTTCTTCTTCTTGTTGTCGTGGAAACTCAGCTCGATCTTCTTCCTGTTCTTTGTCCAGTACTTCTATGTCACCAGTCTCCGAAGGAGGGTACGACGAAAACACTTCAGAGCCAGTCTCCGATCCGAGACTCTCAGTGCACACTTCAAGGCTCTTTACAGTCAAAGAGCTTGATTGTTTCTTCACAAGAGGATGAACATAAGGTGCTGCTGTATCAACCGCCTTGTTGGCCTCTTCATTGGCCTTTTGACATATAATTGAGCTCCACAGATCGAGTTGTCCCTGCTGCTTCTTCTCAGCGTCGGCTTTGCTCATCTTCTTCTTTTGATCTTCTTCATCAAGTGAGCTCCAAATAAGGAACTTTCCCTTCCTTTCTTGGTAACGATCTTCGTCTTCTGACGATGAAGAAGTGTTGTCCTGCGTATCGATGGAGGCGGAGAGTTCTTCAGAGGATGCAATCTTTTTCATGGGGAAGAAACCATGTTGAGCCAGCCATCTCTTGGAGGACATGTCCGCAGACAGTGTTCGTCGCAGGGAAGCAGCTTTGGTTCTTTCAGAGTCAGACGGGCCAAGAATCGTGACGATGCCCTGCTTCTCAGTGATGACCTTACTGGCTTCGTGCTCCATAATATTCCTCTTCATGAAATGAGAAGATGGTGAGCGAGTTAGGCTCTTGCTGAGAGAAGCAGACATATCTCCCAAAATAAGCTAACAAGTAGCTGTAAGTGAAGAATGAGAGCTTTAATTAGCTGCAAAAAGAAACAAAACACAAACAACGCAATCAGCAAAACAAGTTGCTGAACATTGCAACAAATTTCAAGTTACAAAGCAAATTATAATATATATATGTTTGGTGGATGTGCATAAAACATGCATTTGATAGAAGAAAATACAAAACTAGCTGAGCTGTGGAGCAGATGGGAATTCAAATTTACCTGATGAGAGATTCAGAAGGCAACTAAAACAACACAAGAAAGCATCCAACAGAGGTCTCTTCTGCTAACAGAGAGACCACTGATGGGCTGTGACTTTGCAGAGAATAATAATAGCAGAGAGAGAGAGAGATAGGGTATTATGAATGTGATGTTTGAGGAGTGGGTGTGGCTGATCTGATGGCAAAGCAGTGAAGGGGGAATGTGGGTATTTGTAGGGAGCCAAAAGGGCTTTAGAACCGTGTGCAGTGGGGCCCGTCTACGCCACCCATGAGAAAAGTCCCTTCCCCATTTGGTTTCCAGTTTTTCCCCCTTATCAGAATAGTGGGTGGATAAAACTTGAGAAAATTTTGAGTTTGGATTTCAAGAGGATGTTCTCAATTTGTTTCTTGCTCTCTGAGATATAGTACAGTAATATAATCAAATGATATAGTTTATACACTTGTTATACTATACTAGAGTAGTGTACCGTACTATTCTACTTTCTCTAGTATACCACATGATCATAGTACCATACTACAGTAGTGTACCGTACTATTCTACGTACTATTCTACTTTCTCTAGTATACCACATGGTTACCATACTACAGTAGTTTACCGTACTATTCTACTTTCTCCTCTCCCTCCTCGAAGATTATATTGTATTAAGAAAATTGAGGTTAAAAAAAAAGCTCCCTAAAATTAATTGAAACCAACGTTGACTATGATGACATCCAGCTATCACTCACCTCTCATCGTACGTAAGCAGTTTAGATAATAAAAATATTCATATAAAATTTTTAATGAAATTCGTGGACATAATTTGAGAAGGATACCACCCCTCTAGTAGCCATAACAAGGGTTGTCAGAAGAAACATTCATCTATTCTATTGCTTTGCTGAGGTTTTCTGAATTTTTAGTTGTAACTTTAATTGAAGTTTTAGTGGAAAGTTAACTATTATGTGTTTAAAATTAGATATATTTAGTCATATATCCATTCTTAGTACTAATTAATGATATAGATAAACCCTACATTATTTAATTTCTATAAACAAATGCAAAAACAAAAACAAAAAAAATGATAGATGGCCTTATTGAGTTTAATTTTGATTACTAAATTACTTTGATACCCTATTGAGTGTTTTGGGTGTTTTTATGAGGTTTTTGGGTTGGGCTTGTTTTAAGAAATTGACAGTTTTGTAATTTATAAGAAATTAAAAGCCTCTTTGTTATGTTGTAAATGGGCTTTGGGTGTGTTTCTAAAGTTCATTTCATATATAGTGTTTTTGTAATTTGAGACCCTACTAGCTAAAAGGCCAACTACAGTAATTCATTAATAGAAATTAGTTGTTAAGTGGTTTGTGAAATATTTTTTGGGTTTTTTATGGGTGTGTTCGTGAAATTTTTTTTTGGTGTATTTCTAAAGTCCATTTTATAAAGGGTTTTTTTAATAATTTGGGACCCATACTAGCTAAAAGGCCGACTACAGTAATTCATTAATAGAAATTAGTTGTTAAGTGGTTTGTGAAATATTTTTTGGGTTTTTTATGGGTGTGTTCGTGAAAATTTTTTTGGGTGTATTTCTAAAGTTCATTTCATAAAGGGTTTTTTTAATAATTTGGGACCCATACTAGCTAAAAGGCCGACTACAGTAATTCATTAATAGAAATTAGTTGTTAAGTGGTTTGTGAATTTTTTTTTTTCTCTAAAAAAGGGGACTAGCTAGTGGCGAACCATGGCAATCCACCCTCTCTGAGGGTTGGGAAGACTCACACAAGCGTTTCATCGCATCCTTGGCCACAATCAAAAGATTCACCAGCAGTGAGAATCGAACCCAAGACGAACCGAGAGCATACCGGGCCTAAGGAACCCCTCAACCATTGGCCAACATGTTGTGGTTAAGTTATCCGAGTGTTAATTTTTTTTTAAATAGGATTTTTTTCCACCTTTCTGAAAGTTAGAATGGCAAAATTGTGGCTTTTGTTAGTACTGACTACCGATTGGACAGTAGCTAATATTGAGGTTTTGTAACGGTAAGAGTGCCCAAATCCTCTCAATACGTACTCAATAACTCTGCCCAAGTCAGTTTATCTACAAAGAAAACACATAAGAGAAGAAGGCAATCAGCCCCGAGGCTCCTTCTTCGATGAGTATTTCCTAGTTACGTTTCCAAACACACACTGTTATACATATATTACTGAAAAGTTAGCCGTGCACTTTGATCCATGACAAAATATTTGCTCAGCATCTTTAAGCAGCTAATTAATTATAATAAACTAAACTCATGCATGCATAATAACAATAACTAAAGACAGACAGTAAGACCTCACGACAAGATTGTGAGTAAAGTTCCACCAGAGTCCCACTCAAAGGCAAACACCAAAAAAAGGCACTGCTAGCTACCATGCATTATAAGCAATATTACCAATTAGGAAATGCAAAAAATGACACTGATTGGACGAAAATGGCTTAAGGAAGAAGCAAGGGAATCACTTTCAGATAGCTCAACATGATTGGACGGCCAGAAACCCTCCTGATCTCACAAGCTCAATACAAAAGATAAAAAGAAAGAATCTCATCATATATTATAAAATAATAACAAAGAATAATGTATGTGGAAACAATAAGAAGCCGTCACCATCTAGATATTTGGACCCCTTTTGCTTACGTAACACCATTAATAAATAGCATTAGCAAAAAAAAACAAGACCTCTCTCTCTGTCTCTCTGTCTCTGTCTCTCATTCTGTGTATACGTATATAGATGGAGAAGAGACCAATACGTCCACCACTCATATATACTAAAAAGGATGTGACGTTGATGAGTACAATTAAATCATATATGCGCGGAGCTAGAATTATAAAGTTAAAATGATCAAAATGGAAAAATATAAGTATACATAAGTATTTAAAAATTACATATTAGACTTAATTATTTCAGAGGAACCTAAATTACAAGTTTTGTCCGAAAAACTTGAAGAGGGGGCAGGGGCACCCGTGGCCAAGGCCACTCCTAGTCTAGGAGTGGCTCCTTCATAGACTTACATTAGAATTATTACAAATTATGACGTGGAAATTAAAAGGAATTTTCATATATCAAGACAGAAAGAGAGAGGGCGAGAGAGAGAGAGAGCCATAGAAAAATGAAGTATTATGCTTTGCCACAAACCGAGGAAGGCAAAGAGGAACCATGGATGCGCCTTGTCTGCCTATAAAGCAATGCCACTCAAACCTACAACGCTTATCTGTGGACTCTATCCAGCCTTTTGGTTTTGGAATGGTTTCGTGGGAATGGTCAACTTGCATCACTCCAATATAATAATAATTTCTCGATTGCTATTAAGGAGATAGCTAGCAAGTTATTGGTAATATAATTAGGTCCTGTCTTGCTTGTGCATGTATATGTGCGTGGGGGTTCCTCTCCGTCAAAAGAAAGTTTATTATCGAATATATATATAGAAATTCTCGTTATTATTATTCGGACGTCATATATTTTTAATTATCCTTCTTTGCTTTTCTCTCTTTTTATAATGGCATCTGCACAATAATACCGTGCAAACATCCGAATGAGAAAACAACTGTATATATATAGCTTTTGTCGGACGTCATATATTTTTAATTATCCTTCTTTGCTTTCCTCTCTTTTTATAATGGCATCTGCACAATAATACCGTGCAAACATCCGAATGAGAAAACAACTGTATATATATAGCTTTTGTTGAGGGATTTCTTAAATAACCTTATTTGAAAGACACCCTTGTAGGACACAATCCACATTGTATTTCACTAATTCAAATCATCTATTTTTTTATATATTCATTCAAAGATTATCTCTATAAAAAATCACTTGAATTTAAAATACTTATCCTTACATCGATATTTTAGGTCCATTTTTTTTCAAGAACTTTAGTGGAATTTAGGTTGGTACGCTCTCTACCAACCAATTTCTCCCATTCCAAGGAGTGTGATGGAAAGTATGTTTAGCATAGTTCCTTTTAAATTAATTTTAAAGGCACCGAAATTGAAACCGAGTGGGAAATATTTTGAGAGTAAAATAGAAGATTCAGTGCGCATTCTTTTCAGTACATATACAACATACACAAAGGACCAAAAATTATTGGAAACAAAAGTAACAAAACGACATTGAAGAAGTGGTCGTGACTTGTGATACTGGTTCTCCACGGGTATTTTCTACAAATAGTATTTTTATAATTAAAGAAAAGGAATGTTAAAATAGATAAGGTGAAAAGAATATGACACTTCGGTTATGGATATATATCAGGGTTTATTAGTTTCTCAATCAACATCTTTGGATGTATCATTTTCTTATTAGTGCTTATCTTAATTTTTCATTTACTTAAAGAGATATTTAGTCATATACTCATTCTTAGCATTAAAACTATAAATAAACCTTATACCATTTAATTTCTATAAACAAACCCAAAAAATGACAGCTGACTCTATTGAATTTAATTTTGATTATTAAATTACTTCCCTATTGAGTGTTTTGGGCTTTTTTATGAGGTTTTAGGGTTGGGTTTGTTTTAAGAAATCAATGGCAGTTTTATAATTTAAAAAAAGTTGAAAGCTTTTTTTGTTATGTTGTAAATGGGCTTTGGGTATGTTTCTAAAGTCCATTTAATATAGGTTTTTTTTATAATTTGGGCTCCTATATTGGATATAATAGTGAATCTCTCTTATTTAAAATCCTAAAATAATGAGGAATAACTTTATTTTTTTAAAGGGCAAAAACTTTGTCATTTAATGACAGAGAAATTTGAACTTAGCTTCATTCACAGCAAAGTGAAAAGGTATAGTTCTTATCCGAAAAAAGAAAGTATAATTTTGAGCCAAAAATATAATAATGGGCCTTACATATTCCACAATTTTTTTTAATTATATGTAATAACATAAGAAAATTAATTATAAGTTGTGAAAGGCGGTTTCTTGGTTTGAAGAGCCGCCAAATTATATTTCCGATGTTCTCCTTGGGGATTGTAACTTGTAGTTTTTATGAATATGATCTTAAGGGGGAATGGGAGACTCTATCGGAGCTAAGGTTCCTTTTTCACTTGCGGTTGAGAAGCTAGACTACCTCAGTAAACCGACGACCACTACGCTTCATTTGGTGTAGAGTACTTGTCTAATCCTTGAGGACATAGTTTGGTTTTTGTATTGGTTACTCATTTTCCTCATTAATAAA